TTTCCCCCCCCCCTTCCTCTCCTCCTCCTCCTCCTCCTCACAACAATAAATAACAACTGTTTGAAGACAATGAAGATTAATCTAGAGCAGATAAAACTGGAGAAATTATGACCCTGCAGATAAGTTTTAAAAGTTTGGTGATAAGAACAAATTCTTAGAATTCTTCAAATTCTCTGAAAAATACGTAATTTACCAAACCTGAATCAAGAAAAAATAGAAATCCTGAATAATCCTAAAATAATACTAAAACTATTAAAAAAATTAAATAAGTGGTTAAATTCAAAGAACAAAAAGCACCAGTTTCAGATAATTTATATAGGAAAGACTAAAATCATTCCAGAAACAGACCATTCCAATCTTACAAACTATTTTATATAACAAAAAAATAAGAAATGCTTGACAACAGATTCTATAAGTTTCATAACAGGATCATTTGAAAACAGTATGAGGAAGGGACATTTAAGCCAATGTCAGTTGTGAACATAGATCAAAAAATGCAAACAAAACATTAACCTCCCAAGAATTCAGAACTGTAATTCAACCACATTGATTCATATAAAGAATCATCATATCAATTATCTTAATCAATGCAGACAACATTTAAAAACTTCAAAACCGGGCCGGCCAAGTGGTGCATTGGTTAAGAGCTGGCTTGGGGTGCCAGAGGGCCCCGGTTCGGATCCCACATATGAGGGCCAGTGACACTGCCCTCTACAGCTAAGATGCTGAACAACAGCTCAACCTGGAGCTGGGCTGCCGTGAGGCGATGGCGTAGGCTGCAGCCCCTGTGGCAGTGGGTTGCCATGGGCTACCGTGTGTAGCCAGCAGCCAGCGTGAGTGGGCAGCAGCCGCACTGAGCGGCTGTCCAGAAGCCAGCGACTGATCTGCCTCATCCAGCAATAAAAATCTTTAAAAAAAAAAAAAAGCTTCAAAACCCATCTGATTATTTATAAGTCTTACCAAATTAGGAATAGAAACAAAATTCCTTATTCTGATCAAAGGGTACCTACCAAAAATTTACAGAAAACATTATTCTTAATTGACAAGACAGGTGGTGGGTAAACAGGAACAAGACTCAGAGGGAGCAGCCATTTGACTCCAGGGGATGGATCCAACTTAAATTTACATAATATATGCAAAGGTTGTGATAACAAGTTTAACTGCCCCTTCCCTAGCCCCAATAGACAAAGCTGAACACAATAGAAGATAACACAATAGAAGATACCACTACAGGCTGAAGGAAATTACATCCTGATTGGAGAATATAAACAACAGGCTAAACAGAAACTCAGCCCAGCTGTCTATCCTAGACTCTACCCCTGATAACTACTCTGCCGGTGTTTCCCTTCTTAAACTTTCTAACTTCTATTCCTTTGTGCCTTGTGAATTCTTTCACAACCCAAGAGTGAGCAACCACAACATTAATAATGAAACATTAACAAAACTCTTTAGGGCCGGCCGAGTGGCTCAGTTGGTTAAGAACTCGCTTGGGAGCACCAGCTCTGAGCAGCAGGGCCATGGTTCGGATCCCACATTAAGGGCCAGTGACGCTGCGCCCTCTACAGCTAAGATGATGAACAACAGCTCGACCTGGAGCTGGGCTGCTATGAGTCGTCCGCGACGGCGTAAGCTGCAGCAGGGCTGCAGTGGGCTGCCATGAGCTACATGAGTGGCTGGCAGCCGGCGAGAGCTATGAGCCGCAGTGAGTGGCCGACCAATGACCAGCAACCGATTGCCTCACCCGGGAAGAGCACAATGATCATACCAACATGGGCCAGTGAAGCAAGCGATGTCCTCCACAACTAGACTGAAGAACAAAACAGCAATTTGTCTACCTGTCTGTTCCCTTTCTCAATTCCCCAATAAAATCTTTAAAAAAAAACAAAACAAAAACTCTTTAAAACAGAAACAGAATGACTACCGTTATCATTTCTATTTACCAATGTACTAAAGCCATAAAGCCAGTGAAGTAAGGACAAGGAAAACAGACTAATTGGCAAGCTTGTCACTATTTACAATCTGTCTACCAAGAAATCCAAAATAAATAAATAAATAATAAACAAAAATGTTGGAATTAAATAAATCATACATATTCACTTAATCCAGCAGTGGGAATGGAATGAATGAACCAGAGCTAAATTCAAAAACAAGGATAAATGTTAGAAATAATGTTGAGTGTAAAAGGCAAGCCATAGATGATTATGTACCATATAAAGACCATTTACCACACTCAAAACCAAACAAAACTACACAATGCATTTAGGGATACAAATACTTTGTGGTAAAACTATTTTTAAAAGAAACGGAATGACAAAATGCTGGGGAGTGGTTGCCTTTAGGGGACAGAAAAGATGGGATGAAGGAGGAGTACTTAAAATGGGGGAGAGAGAGGAGGTCAAGGGTATGGGCTTAACTCTCATGCTTCAAAATATGCATATATATAAGTTCTTTAGTAAATGTGTTGTGGGCCAACCGAGTAGACCCCCCACCCCCACCCCCACCAAATACTTTTATGTGATCTTTCCCATAGAAATGTTAAGTATAGAAGTGTTACGTCTCCTCCCTAGTTTCTTAGTTCCTTAGCCCTTGGCTTTGATTACTCTTCTAATCAGTTTCTGAAGCCTAGCCTAAAGATTGCTCCTAGCCTGAATCATAGAATTCTATTTCCCTGCTTCTTGATTGCTTTGTAAATCAGTTTCTTAATCCTAAACAATAGAAGTCTCCTACCCCTGCTTCAGATCATTACTTGAAAGCCTGTGACATCCTAATATCCCCCAGGCCAGTAAGCTAATTGCCAAACCCATTCTGGACTCAGACAATTAATGCTATCTGAGTAACAGGCTGAATGGCCACAGGCTTCACAGAGCTAACAGGTTTATTAATTAAAATCTATTTTTCCTCATTCAGGGGCCTTGGGGATACGAGCGTACCCCAGCAAGATTGCCAGTCACAACCAAAGAAGCCAGCTCGGTCTTCCGGGCGGAGCTGGAGACCCCTTCCTCTCATCTGAGATCAGCTAGGGTGAGAGTTCCATGAATCCCCCAATAGGCAGGGACAACTCTACACCCCTGCCCAGCAGGAAGCAGATACAGAAGAAAAGACCTCCTGTACCTCAACTTTCCATAGAGATTTTATGGGGATCACGTCTCTCAAGAAAACAAGGCAGGCAGTTAGAGACAGGCATTGGGTTCTCTGCATTCCTGCACGTCCCACAGAATGTGACTGGCCAGGTGATCTCCCCTCTATACCCAAAGCTTCTTTTCATTTTAACTACCCCTACAGGGAAACAAATGGGTACAAAATACCTGACTGGATTAGACCAGTCACTCACACCTGCGCCGTAAAGGCCATAATGACCTTCATTTCACCCGGGCCTCATTTATATCATTATTAGAATGTCATCCATATGCCCAGAAGTTTATTAATATTATTATAACAGACTGAATTCTGGGAAGAAGCATGCACAGTCTAAAGAAATGAGATAATAGCCTGTTGTCAATTACAGGTGCCAATCATGTGGTCCCACGCCCAGAGAGGAACAGCCCATTCTAGAGAAAAGGGGATAAAAACTCCAAGTCCTGGGAAGACTGCCCTTTTGAATGCCTTCCCTCTTTTTAACCGCTTCTTCCTTTTTTGACTTCTTCCTTTTGAGCCACACCTTTGTGCATGGCTTGCTCCAAACTCTTTGCAACATAATTTCTCTTCTAATGATGGGCCCTTGAGCCATCCTCTACTGCTCGGGCCCATTTCTATTTCTTTTAAATGTACTCTCTCTTCTAATAAACTACTTTTTCACTACTTTACTCCAGTATCTCGTTCAATTCTTTGCTCAGGTTGCCAAGGACCTGCACTTCGCGCCAAGGGCCCACTCTCCGACAACAAATGCATCAACTATTAGATAAATAAAATAATTTAAATTAATGGAATAGTTTAAGCAAATGATAGTCAGTAGATACACATTTAAGTCGTAAAAAAATAATATAAATGGAGCCATTTTAAAACAGAGTGGCAGCTGCCATCCCAGAGGAACTGCCTTGCACGCCTTACAACTCTGCACAGGTTTCATTCACAGGATTACCACAGGACACACAATAACCACCACAAAATATGCAGTGAATGAATGTCTCTTACTCCAGGAAAGAAGTACAGCCTTCAAAGGTGAGAAAGGGGAACCACAGTTATTGAGCACCAGCTGTGAGCTGAGTCCTGGGCTGGAGGTTTCCACATCTGTTTTATTCCACAAACCCAGAAAGCCCATGGAGAACCTTCCTCCCCTGGCTTCCCCCTGTAGCCAGTTTTACAGCAAATACCCATTAGGCCTTTCCTTTACAGTCCTAAAGCTGATCTCACACCAACCTAAGCACATGTCTCTCTATCCTTAAATCATTTCTAGATAACCAACAACTAACTGGGTTCTGGTATAGCTCTCAAGGTATCAGTAATCCAGCCACTCGTCTAATACATTTGGACAAGAAAGACTCAACTTAATAGATCAAAAATCGCACCCAAACATTGTTCCAACTTTAAAGAGAATATACAATCAACACACATGGACACAGAGACTTATACAAAGATCACAACCTCACTAGTAGTCAGAAAAATATATATTAAAAACTGTTTTTACATGTCAGTTTGCATATATGAAAAGGACAAATCATCTCCAGTGTTGTTTAGGGAAATTTACATGAGACTTAATATAAGTTTACATATACATTTATATGACCTTTTGAAGAGTAATTTGGCAATATAAGTATTTAAAATGTACAAATGTTTCCATCTAATAATTTCATGTCCAGGTACCCACACAGGAAAAAGTCTCCCATATATTTGCAAAAAAATTTTAAAAATCACAAGAACATTCTTTGCAGCATTGTTTGTAAAAGTGGAAGGAAGGAAATACATGTCCATCATTTTTATTTGTCTTCAAGTGAAATTAAAGATCTACAATACCATGTTTTTTACAAGAATCTTAAAAACTAAATGAGTTAACAAAAACTTACTTCAAAAAGGAAGAGGATGGAGTCCAGCTCCTCTCTTTGTGACTTATTATTCCCTGGAATATGTTTAAAAAACAAAATTAGTTATCATGACAATGTATAAATTTTAGGATATTAAGAAATTATGTTAAAAGATATCTCAAAACATTTAAGCCTCAACATACATTCATTTATTTAAATAAGACTGGGAGGTAGTGTGGAGCCCATGTTAGGAATGCAGGTGTTCCCCAAGCCATACCACCTGGGTCAACATCTAGCAGAGCTGCTCCTTGTTAGCTATATAAACACAGCTTCCATGTTTTCTAAGTTGTTATCCATGACAGGTAATTTATTCATTTCTCCATTAGTTGCTTATGAGGTCAAATTATGATAGAATGCACAATAAAAACAAAGAGTTCTAGCTTTGTGATATGAAGAGGCATAGAGCAGTAATAACTATAAAAACTATGCAATTGCACACTGTCCTTTTGATAATAACAATAATAAAACTACAATACCTACAGCAGCAGTTACCATTTATTGTCCAGTCTATGTACCAAGCATTGTAGAAAGTGCTTGGCACATCATTTAACTTAGGAATCAGCAAACTTTTTCTGTCAAGGGCCATATAGTAAATATTTTAGGCATTTCAGGCTTCTCTAACAACCACTCCACTCTACTGTTTCAGTGCAAAAACAGCTACAGACAATACACAAATGAATGGGTATAACTGTGTCCAATAAATCTTGATTTATAATAACAAGCAGCAAGCTATAAGTTGTGGGCCCCCAATCTAACTGAAACCCCACAGTTCGATGAAGTAGATATCATTTATTGAACAAATACTAAAGAATGTCTCTACATCAGGGATTATTCCAAGGCCTGAGGATACATGACTGAACAAAACAAAACCAACTCTGCCCTGAGGAAGCTTACATTCTGGCAGGAGGAAGTGTTTGATAAATGAATACATGGGGAAACCAAGAAGGCAGGCAGACAGGGAATGCCAAAAATGGTGGGATGCAATTTGGACTAGAGAAGTCAGGGAATACCTCGCTGATAAGGTGCCTCTGAGCAAAGATATAAAAGCCACATGGAAATCTGGGGTAAATGTTTTCCAGGCAGAGGGACTGGACAGTGCAAAGTCCTATTGCTGAGCAAGTTTAGCACAATCAGGAAGAAAGGCAACTGCAAGAAAGGCCTTGTGTCTGGAGCAAAGGAGGAGAGTTGCAGCAGGTGAAGTTAGACAGCTGGTGGGATGAAGGAAGGCAGGAAGGTAGGGTCTGAAGCCACTGTAATGACTTCAGGAATGGGAAGCCATTTGAGAAAGGTTTGGAGTGCTGAGAGTCATGATTTGACTCACATTTTTAAAGTATCACTCTAGCTGCTCTTTTGAAGAGACTTTGGTGGGGGTTAAGGAGGGAGGAAAGTGCACAATAATCCAGGTGAGGATGATGCGAGCTTCAGCGTTACCAGCGTTGCCAGGAGAAGAGGCCAGTGGTTCCGTATGTATTTTGAAGGTAGAGCCAATAACTCAGGATTTGCCTTGAATAACTGGAAAGCTGAAGTTATCACAAGATGAGTACGTTATTCCTAGTAAACATTTTCCTTTATTCCTTTTGTTTTGGTACACTTTCTTCCCTGCACTCCAACCAAAACAAAGATTGTACTAAAAGTAAGAAACTTCAAAATCTCACCCTGTTTTTACTGGTTCTTCATTATGATTCTTTGTAAAAATGGAGAGAGTTTTTCTCCTTCCCATCAAAAGATGTCTATTTCTCCATCCCTTGAATATGAGATGCCATGTGACTTGCTCTGACCAATGTGATATTAGCAAATATAAGGCAAGCATAAGCTTTAAAATGCACTTTCTGAGTTTGGTACCCTAAAGCCACTATGTGAAGGGGCCCAAGATAGCCTGCTACTTGGAGACGAGGGGCCACATGGAGGAGAACTAAGGCACCCTGGTCAATAGTTTGGCAACCACAAGACATGTAAATGAGGCCATCTGCCCCCAGCTGACATCAGAGGCATGAGCTAGCCTAAGCCAGAAGAACTGCCCAATAGACCCAGAAAATAATAGCTAAATGACTGGCTATTGTTTTAAGGTACTCAGTTTGGGGAAGGTTTGTTATGCAGCACAAAATAACTGGTACAGTCTTAAACTGCTACATTTTTCTAAAAAGATAGAGGAAGCAAAAAGGAGAAGAGGGAGGGAGGACCCTTTAGAAACAGGATTTTTAGGTTGTAGGGTTGTTTGTTTTTATAGATATGCGGTTTTAATTTTTTCTTTGCTATTTCAGTTATACATATCATATTTTTCTCCACACACCTATAAAACAAAAAGTGAAGTAGACCAAAGCTAGAAAGCAAGATAATAATTATGTCATTTCATATGTGAAATATCTACCAATTTTGCAAAAAAAGAATTTTAAGGTTTATATCAATTAATAAATCACAGGGGGGACACTGGGCAACTCATTAAAACAACAACAACAACAAAAACACTTGTTGGTATCCTGGGCACATGCCCATATATGACTTGATGACCTACTAAGGCCTGGAGCATTCTCTTAAGACTCTAAGCCATCTGCTCTATTGTGGAAACTTCACAGTCTCGCCCCAAATTCATTCCCCTCCATGCCTGACATTTGCCTCAGGTTTTACAGAAGCAATCAGAGCATCTATACACTCCTCTCCATGTCTTCTTTAAATTTGACCCTGTCTCAAACCCACTTCCTCCATCACCTTGCATCATTAGTTATCTCCATTTCCTCAGCCTGCAAACAAGCAAATGCATCCTTTAAAACCTTCCCGTGACCAAGCTACCCTTTGAGATACAATCCTCTATCTTCATCCTCATACCTTTGAAAAGGGTATTTCTAAAGTGCCTCACCACCCAGTTACTTCATTTCTCTCTGCCTGGCTTCCAATGCCACCACTCAGCTAGGACTTTCCTTTCACTAGTCAGTGACAGCTCCTCGATGTGCTATCATTCCCTAGTCCTGCTGTTCCTCACCTTTTTGCATCATCAGTCATTGCTGATCTTTCATGCCTTGAAAGTCTTCTCTGGGCTTTGGTGACAAAACACTTTCCTGGCACCCTCCCCTTCACCACTCCTCTTTTATGTTTCCTCTTTGTCTGCTCAATAAAAGAAGGAATTATCCCAAATCCCTGACTCTTTCTCTACATGTATTTTCTTCCTTGGCAACAGCATGATTGCACCTCTCTTCCCCAAGTTCCAGTCCCTATACATTTACTGCCCAGCCAGAACCTACACCTGGGTGTCCCACAGGTACTTCATAGGAATAAGGAAAAGGGATACAGGAAAGAGAAGTCAAAGATGTGTTCTGGATGTTGAGTCTAGTTCAAAAGCTGCTATTACAGCAGTGGGGACCCTGGAGCAGAGCCAGGTTTGGGAGTCTGAGGTACATGAAAACCTGAATATTTAAAAAAAACAACAACAACAATTTGGAAAAATATCAAAAAAAATTTTTGTAGAAAGCTTACCTTTTAATTTCAAACTATTTTCCAGTGTTATAAAATTTTCATAGAAGATGAAGTATATCTGAGAATAGTTGATCTCAAAAAACTGCTTAAGTTCACTTGCATCCACATTATCTGAAAAGAAAAAGTTTCCATTTATGACAATAACCCTCTACAATTATCAGAATTCATAAACCTTTTCAGAAATTAAGTAAAAACTAGCTTTATCCCCATATAAGACAAAAAAAAAAAGTATTTCCATCCATTTATCCTCCACTAAGAGAGCTTCGAATGGGCTTGGGGACCCCCCCACACACAGACCCCTGCAGGAGACTGAGTCAAGGAGATCAGAGCCATGGGGGCACAGCACTTACAGACCAGCTAGACAGCTAGCACCACTGAGGGAGGTATGGGGAGGGACAAGATGACGTCCTGTGAGGGGATGGGGAAGTAGAAGTTCATGGAGAAGGTGGCTTGTGACATAGCCATAAGAGGGAAGGGTCTGTACATATGAAAAACAACTTTGCCCATAGAGTCATGGCCAGTCTCTCCCTCCTTCCTGCTGACATAAAACCAGCTCCAGAGAACTAGCGGGTGCTCCCCCAGCACACCCACCCACTTCCATCTGGGTCGCTGGTCACCGCCTTCCCTCTAGCGTCTAGGTGACGAGTCCCATTCCTGTTTGGACATGGTTGAGGTCCTCCATGTGTTCCTAGAGTTGCTTTGAGCAGTGTTTCTCCATTTGCACCAGCTATATAAGGAACTAAGTCCAGCGACAACTCCAGCTGGGGCCAAGCCAGCAACACAGCCACTTCTTCCAGAGGCCCAACCATCCCTTGAAACTCCCATCAGAGTAGTCGCCCACTGTCAACACACCTTTGTACATTTCCCTTAGCAAACAAGGTTGTTTGTGCCATTTACAACAGGGTTGTGACTAAGGTGTTAGCTCTTTAGGAGAATACACTAGTAACCTTGGGAAAATGAAAAACAGCTTCCTTAAAATTATACAAGGTTTACTCAAGAAAAAGATATGTTGCTATTCAATTTATAACAGAGTGGCATCAATTGCTTTTAGGGTCCTAAAACCGTGAATACATGTGAACACACCCATTACCATGTTTAAATTCTATAAAGTTAACACTAAGGCTGATGAATCTAAAGAGTTGTTTTCCTCTCATGACTCTTACAGAGCCTTTTATGCAAAAATCCGCCCTAGTTCTTTGAAATAATGCCCATAAAATGTTTTTAAAATCATATGAGCTGCCAATTTCACATTCTATTTCTTGCTCCAAAATAAAACTGAGCACAGAGCAATGAAAGTTCCTAGTAACTAACAAATTAACCTATGTGAACACAGTTAACAATGAAACTAGTATCATTAACACCACACGGATATTATTCTTATGAGCTACACAATCTTGCCAAGGAACCCTTGTGTCTTCCACAGAATGTGTCAGTTCCGATAAAGGTTTTGTTCATTTTCACTCCGATACAAGCTGCTAGCCCATCCACCACTAACTGTTCCCTCTAAAGCATGCTTCACCCAGCCAGCTCCTACTCAGCACTCACTGGTCAGCTGAAACATCCCCAGCTCATCTTGAAACTAGGTCAGTGCCTCTACATGTGGCCCCATTACCTCTTCTGCCCCTATCATAAAATATTTCATGCTTTACTTAATTCCTGACGTAATTTAATTCTGATGGAAAGATCGCTGTCTTCTCTGTTAGAGATACTTCCTACCCTCATAGCATTCCCAGTCTATCTCATACATCATATTATGTCCCCTGCACCTAGCACAGTATTTAGTTCAATATTTCCTCAAACGAACTGAATGACAGAATCAGCCTGTAACACACAATGATAGGATCATGACCACAGCTTGTAAATCATTAGATCACATGCCTATAGTGAGGAAATGGCCTAACCCTCCTTCAAATCCTTGGATCTATTAAGAGACCTTCAAATACTTGGGTGTATTAAGAGAAAGTATATCCCTCTGCTGAGGACTCCCCATTTCTATCTGTAGCCCTGACACATCCTCACCACACTCCCCTACCTCTCAAGTTCTACTCTCACAGCCTGCTGCATGCCAGATTTCTCCACATGAGTCTAAAAGTTTTCTCCAATTAAATATGTCCAAAGGAAAGTATTGTTTTCCCCCTCAAATTGTGATCTTCCCTCAGGCACCACAACATACCTAGCTGCTCAAGTCAAAACCTAGACGTTAACCTGGGTTCTTCTCAGTCCTCACAGCCCACTTCCAGTGTGTCAATTCTACCTGGAACATGTCCCAGCCCTGAGCTACTTGCTGCCCTCCACAGCCCTGCCTGGCACATATCACCATGAATCCTCACTCATGTTGGCTGCCTGGGCTCCCTATTTCCGCTCTTCACCTCTGCCGTCTATTCTTCACACTGCTATCAATAGGAAATTTTCATAATGTAAATCAAGTCTGACAATTCCTTTTGTCAAAACCTTCAATGGCCTCCAGTAGTACTTAAAATAAAATCCAAGCTCTTTACCGTGGCCTGTAAGGCTCTGCATGATTTCCTACATTCAATGCCAATTTCATCTCACATCACTCTCTTCTTCATGCCTACAATCTAGCCACTGTGGCTTTTTTCCATTCCCCCAATTTCCCAAACATGTTCCCCACTTGGGGCATGTCTAATATGCTTCCCCCTCCCCTAGATCATTCCTTTGCATCCTTCAGAACTTGGATCACACAAACTGACAGTGTGTCCCCATATGTCACTCTTCCCATGTCATCCCATCATCCTGCCTTCTTCCTCATAGATTCTGTAATGGATGGACGCCGACAGCTCACCAGAAAATGGGCCTCAGACACAGAATGCAGGCAAACAATTATCCCTGGCATCAAGGATGTGGATGCACTGATGCAGCAAAATGGCACAGAGAAGTTACTAGGCGATCAACAACTCCCCCATCTTCCTCGGGCCTCCTTTGGTCCCTCAGACAAACTCAAATATTGGCAACCTGAACAAAGAGGGTCTTCATCAATGTTGACGAGCCCTCATATAGACTGAAATGCTCTCATGCAGCCAAAATCCAGGTAACAGCCACCTTCTTCTTTAGCCTTTCACTATCTTCCTTGTGAATGAGAAATGTATGGTACTGGTCTTAAAAATCCTCACTAACAAGACAACTATAATAGATCCCTTCAAGGTAACCCACTCCACAGTGAAACTAAAAGCATAACATCTATAACACACTTTATTTACATGTGTGAGAACTCCTCACTAGTCTGGGAATCCTCTTCACATGAGTCCCCCCAACAGCACTTAAGAGTAGTTGAAATTATCTCATTTATGCATTTACTTCTTCAGTGATTGGCACTCCACTAGAATAGAAGCGGCAGAAGAGCAGGAATCTCACTTGTTTTGTTCACTACTGTATTCCCAGCCCTAGGAACAGAGCTTGGCACCCAAAAGATACTTAACACATATTTGTTAAATGAATAAATAAATCAAATATTTTATATCTCTAACTAAAAATCTAGAATGACTCCTTGATTTGTCTTATTTTTAAAAAACAAGACTCATCAAATGAATATTTATACAGTAAGCATAGATCATGAGGAAGGCAACCACAAGCACTGGAATTTGGCATCCTGCAAAAGGGAATATAAGAAGGTATCAAAGGGCTGCTTTTTTAACAAGGCTAACTTCAAGAAATATAGAGTTATAGTAGGAAGAGTTTGTTCAGGGAAAAAATTTAAAAAAAAAGACTATGACCATAAACTTCCTTTAAACAGACAGTCTTCACCCCTTCACTCAAACATTACTGAGCACCTACCTATGCCAACTAGCCCTGAGCCAAGTGCTAAGAAATTTGAAGAGAATAAGATCAGCGCCCTCAAGGGAACAGAGGTAAACAAACCAGTAACAGAAAAGGCACCATGACCAAAGCTCATGCAGGGCATCAAGGCAGGGACTGGACAAGGCTATATGGAAAGGTTGGAAATATTAAAAATGCTACACATTTATGCTTTAAAAGACACTTTCATAAATTTATTTTATTTGACTCTCACCACAACCCTGTGAGGTAGAGGGGCAGGTGTGATCAAGGTGAACTTAATAAAACATCATTTAGAAACAGTGAGAACAAGAGAAATAATTTAGTCAGACACAGACAGAAAATGCTGACAAGGATGAATGTCATTAAAATGCACTGTTACTTACAGGCTAATATGATTCTGGTGATTTCACCTTTGAACAATGGCCTAGGTCTCTGCCCTCTTTCACCTTGGGGTAGTTTGTAAAAACACCACAAACTATTCCTTCCCTCCACCTACCCACACTGACTTAGGGCTGAATCTCCTAATTTGTTTTGGCCAACTGGTAATTAGACATATATAATCCAGCAGTGGCCAGAGAGCCTCAGGTAGTCTCTGGTCCAAGAGAAATGAGCTGACACAACCTACAAGGAAGCCAACCCCAGGCAACTTGCAGCCAGAGGAACAATCAGCCAAGCCAATGCAGACGAGAGAGGGAGGGAAATAGATGCTTGTCACAGTAAGGCCTATATAAGCTGTGAGGGAGGTTTGGGATGGATTATTACAAAACGTAAATGCGGAAATGTTGGTAGGGAAGGAGAAACTTGTCAACAGGCAGCTTCACTGGCCATGAGGGCCAGCAAGGCCACGAAGAAGCACCCCCAAGTACAATATGACACATCATCACCTCCCTTAAAAAAGAAAAGCAGAAAAAAGGGATCCAAGTAACAGAGGTTGCCAGTTGATGATAGAAACTTACTGTCAACTGTCACATATGCTAAGCAGAGTGCAGGCAGGGACTCCTTTTCCTGAAACCAGCCAGTTGGTTTTAGAACCTCCTGTATGGCAGGACTGTGCCAAAGGCAGGTAAATGACCTAGAGCTTACCTGGTGAGGAGGTAAAGTCAACACAATGAAGCCCTTTCAAGACTCAGAAGGTAATCAGGTCATAAGACAGCAGGTATGCTGACTATGCTTCAATGGTAAATCAATACTTTTATCACCATCATTATTATTAAAGAGAAATTCACATCTGAAAAATGCATCTATATACAGATATAAAAAAGTCCCCTGTACTGATTATATGCAAATACAAGATCTTCATGTGAATGGAAATACAA